CTACTCGGGAGGCTGAGGCAGGAAAATGGCGTGAACCCGGGAGGCGGAGCTTGCAGTGAGCTGAGATCCGGCCACTGCACTCCAGCCTGGGCGACAGAGCCAGCCTCTGTCTCAAAAAAAAAAAAAAATAAGTAATGCCTCCAGCACAGGAGGAGGCTGCCTATTAAAGGGTATCCTGGGAAGAGAAGGAGGGACACATGGGAGGTGCTTCAGGTCTCTGAGCAGGGTTGCCTAAACAAGTCCGTTGAGAAGACGCTTGGGCCGGGCACGGTGGCTCATGCCTGTAATCTCAGCACTTTGGGAGGCGGATCATGAGGTCAGGAGATTGAGACCATCCTGGCTAACATGGTGAAACCCCGTCTCTACTAAAAATACAAAAAATTAGCCGGGCCTGATGGTGGCACGCGCCTGTAGTCCCAGCTACTCAGGAGGCTGAGACAGGAGAATGGCCTGAACCTAGGAGGCGGAGCTTGCAGTGAGCCAAGATCGCGCACTGCACTCCAGCCTGGGCGACAGAGCAAGACTCCGTCTCAACAAAAAAAAAAAAAAAAAAGAAGAAAAAAAAAGACACTTCAATGCTAAGACCCCTGTAATGCTCTCTTCATTGACCTTATCCCGTTTAACTCCTCAGATGAACGCCTCACAGCTGAGGAAATGGATGAGCAGAGGCGGCAGAATGTTGCCTATCGGTACCTGTGCCGGCTGGAGGAGGCCAAGCGGTGAGCAGAGTCCAGGAAGATGGACTCTTTTCTGCTCTCCCTTTCCACCACCCCACCCTAGGCATCTGCCCCCAAAGCAAATGCAACAGATGGAGAGTCCGTCCTGTGGGAAAGGGCGAGCTGAAATAACTTTTTAATTTTTTTTTTGAAGCAAATCCCAGTCACATCATTTTACCCCCTATAAACTGCAATATGTATCTCCAAAATATGTGGACGTTCGCTTATCCAACTAAATTATTTAAATCCTTGGAAGATCAATACCCAGCCCATTTTCAAATTTTCCTGCTTGTCTTAAAAAAAGAAAGGCCGGGCGCGGTGGCTCAAGCCTGTAATCCCAGCACTTTGGGAGGCCGAG